CAGTGGTTGTAAACAGCCTCCATTACTCCTCTTAGAAACCATTGATGCTTTCAGCCCTGAATATGAACATTGCCATCTTTAAAGGAGTATCCTTTGTCCATCAAACACTCTGTTGTATGTGAGCGTACACAGAGATTGAAGCAAAAACAAACCTTAATAATTACGATGGAATCCAAGTTCTCTAATTGGATAATTTTAGGTTTTATTGAGCTAGTTAATGCAGAGAAATCCTCGATAGGTTGAAGCTGCTTTATGGTGCACTCCTCTTGAAAAAGGTGTTTAATATCAGTTAGTTTTGTTCACTTAAATAAAATATATGAAAAAAATTATAAAACTAGATCAGAGAGTCAAATAAAGGGGTCTCTTCCTCACTGAATTGCTCTTAACGGTTTCTACTTTGTTTACTTTCCCAGAAAGCTCGATGTTGTGCGGACCTGCGATAAGATCCCTGTTTCGAGATAGTAGTTGTACAGGTTATAGTACACATTATATGGGCCTGAGACCATTTAATGTAATCATTACATGTGCTGTAGATGTTCAGACTTTGAAACTCGAATTCCCTTACAGTGTTTGAGGTAATGCTGCTGCAGCCTACACACCTTATACCATGCTGTTTTTATAGCACACATAGTGCTGCATACACAGTGAAATAAAATGACTTATTTTGTGTTTACAGGAAGATGAAGGAGTTTAAAGTCATTTAAAAATACAGTGTTTGACATTTAACCGAAAACACTTGGATAAAACGTGTTTAACATGACATAGTTAGCTAAACAAAGCATATTCCTCGCTGAAAGTCACTTAAATCTAGTTAATCTGTGTATTAATGCACAACAACATGCAGCATTTGCTTGTTTCAAACCTCAAACTCCAGCATGCCTCCATCTCCATGTGACAACCACATCCTCCCTGCTGGCATGCTCACATGCTGTGTGCACACAAATTGCTTTCACAAGATTGCACATGTCTGTTTTCTGCTCATATAAACAAGAACATGTATGAAAAAAAAACCCTACAGCACAGCAAAGCTCCATAAAGGTGTCAAGCATTACTTTTTGACTGTGCTGAAGGTGAGAATTGCACACCTAAATCTAGAGGTCAGTCTGCAGAAAGTAGGAAAAAAGAAGAAATGAGGAAAATTCTCAAGATGATTTCCAAGAAATTAACAACTGCAGTTTTAAATTGTACACACACACACACACATGTATATATATATATA